TTATAAAAGTATTAAGTGCAAATGTGTTAAATGAATTCCCAACTCACGTGAGCTACAAGCCAATATTAACGGATTTATGATAATAATAAAAACTAAAAGTACTCATATAAAAAAAATACAAATCTAAATCTAAATTTTAAAGTGATTAAAACCAAAATTTAATATATTTATATAGACTAAAAACATATTTAATTTTTTTTCTAATGGACAAAGTTTACCGAAAATAAAGGTTGTTTTCAGCCTACCAAAAAAGAGAGGTTGTTTTCACTTTTCATGATGGAATAGGAATCTCATATGTTCCTTATCAACATAAGATATTAATGTTATGAGAGAGAAAAATAAAAAATAATATCATAAGAGGATCTATCCATTACAAAATTAAGACATGCCATAGGCTTCACGGAGGATTAATTTGGAATCAGTCAAATTCAAATATAGTTAAATTATATATTCTTTTTTAAATAATGCAAACAACAATTTTTGTTTGAAACTTTTGAATGTGACTAACCTAATTATAATAATCTCCATATCGATTAAACGAGTTCAATAACCAATTATGTGTGGACAGTATTTAATATTAGAAATCAAGGTTAAAGAAATATTAATAATGTAGTTATTTGCATATTTTCCTGTGTGAGAAGTGTGAACAAATAGGAAACAGGGTGAAAGAAAAAAAAAATGATTATATTGACTAAGCAGCGAGTACTGAAGTCTGAAAGCACCAAATAACATTTACACACATTTATTCTTGTACACTAGGTTTTTCGGGATATTTTAGTGTAGAATAAGATTTTGTTTCCTTTAATAGTTGTTTTGTACTGATGATTTTTATCATAATTTAAAAATTAAATTAAGTATCTTGGATTCGATTTCTGTCGATAAACTTGTATTAATAAGCTATTTATAAATAGTGAGGGTTATATTTATTATCTATTTTTCTTATTACTAAATCTTAACCATTGATTTGCATCAATCTAACGGTTATAATTCATTATGTCATACTTATTAATTAATTATTAATTTTTAATAAATTATAACCGTTAAATTGACGAAAATTAACGGTTAAAATTTGGTAATAGGAGGTAGTAAAAAAAGAGACAGTAAATATTACCACAAACAAATAACCTTTGAATGAAAGAAGTTTTTTCCACCTAAACTTTTATTTTTAAAAAATTCAATCAAAATAATAGAACGAAGTGATAGAGGAACAGGATAATAATGTTATTATGCAAATAATATTTTATTATAATTAAATAGTGCTCATCGGCATATTTATGTGGATCTCATCGTAAAAGGTTTTATGACAGTGAAGGGTGATTTCTACAATGTTTGTGACATTGACAAATGCTCATGTGCCGGAATCTAATCTAAATTTATTATCCACTTGAAAGATCTGCCACAATAACAAAGGCTCCAATCATTTACAAAATGTGTTTTATGGGGGACATTAACTGTAATGCTTCTACCAAATTGGATGAGAGATAAATTGAAAATTTTAGAAATAAAGATATATCTTTTTTGAGAAGGTGTAATAGTTAAAATCTCGATTTATCATTAAAATTTTATATTTTTATGATTTTTTTCGTCAAATAATTTTATCAATATTTCAAACGTTTTTATGTTTTTACGATTTTCTTATGTTATAATTTTACGTTTTACTATTTTTTATCTCTCTTCTGATTTTATGTAAAATCTTAATTTTAACTACTTTGTGATGAGTGTTATATTGAAAAAAAATTACAAAATTACAAATTATACTATGTTTTACCGGTAAGATATAATATAGTTTGTAAATATAATTTTTTTCATTTTTTTAATTTACGGACTCTATTTTGATTGAACGAATGGGGAAAGAATATTTGAAAAATTTGAAGAGTAAGAAATTTTTTGAAATATTATTTTCATTTTTGTTTCTCGTATGCTTTTTTCTTCCATCTAAACCGGATAAATTTTCTTTCGGTCCGGGCTTCGTAGCATGAGATTTCCATTAAAAGAATTTTCCTTTTGTTATGCTGTTCTAATTCAAAAATCTACAAAATGAATTGATCCTGTTTAAAGAAGATAAACCAGGAAAATGTCTAAAGTGCTACCGCCGTATCATTTGGTCAGTGCGACGAACCAATCTCATTGGGAGAAAGAATGTGCAAGTTATATAATAAATTGAAAAAAATAAATTTTAATCCATGTGTATTTTTTTTAATAGAAGTAGCACAAACGACCAACGCACTTAAAAAGCATTCCATCCCCAGACCTAATTTTTGGCTAATTGATCAATCAGGGCTGTTTTCACCAATTTTCTTCTTTGGGATTTGGTGGGGGAAATTTTACGAATGGGATTGTCAATGGCATTTTTTTTTCTCTATTTCAAGGAAACGTGACATAATGTGAATGGTTCTTTTTTTTTCTATTTTTCTTTTTATAAAATACTCATATCCTCACATTCATTCACTTATTTTAAATATTAAATAATTAATTTATTGATTAATATATTTATAATTGTAATTAATATTAATTATTAATTAATTTATAATTACTAAAATTAATTGCTAATAATCAATAATAAATAAAAAATTACTAATTACTACAACTTTTAAGTAATTACATTAATTATTATATGCATAGATTAATACAAATATTAGGTAAGTCTATCATATATGATATTTGTATATTTTTATAATCACTTAATGGATGGAAATTTGGTGTAAATTAATAATTGATCATGAGAGTATACAAATATTTGGTCGTGATCTTATGTATATATAACGACTCGAATTTACCTCCAAAAAAAAAAAATGACTCGAATTTATTAATTATACGATTTGGTTACAAGTAAATCAACGATTAAGATTGATTTTAAACTAAGTTGATCTTTTTTTTTATATACATAAACTAAGTTGATCTTATCCTTATATATAAGGCAAGATAATTTTATACCAATGTAAGTTATAGTTTCAATCTTGGTCACTGATTCTATTTATATATATATATATATATATATATATATATATATATATATATATATATATATATTTGTTTTAATTTATTATTAATGTGATATGTTCAATACAAGTTGATTAACAATTAAAATTGAGTGTAAGATTTTTTATAATTATATTTAAGTCAATCATGCCTCTTTATATATATACATATATGGGTTTAATGTGTCTCATGTTGTAGTGTGGAAGTTAGTTGTGAAGCAAGAAGTGTGGCCTGAATTTACTTCTTTAGATCTGCATCATTGGATGATAGCTAATATTTCTAATGATCGGTCTTGGTCTTACTTGTCTCATTGGCCGTTGTTCTTTGGGATTATATCATGGTTCATTTGGAAAGCTAAGAATAGATTAATCTTTCAAGGGATGACGGACAATGCTTATAACACTTATAGAGCGGCTTTGAGATACGGGGAAGGGGCGATTTCAACATCAACCATATTGGAAGAAGTTACTCTTGAGTCTAGTCCGAAAAAGAAGAAACTTGTATCATGGATTTTTCCTTTAGTTCCCTGGGTTAAACTTAATGTGGATGGTTCTTGTATTAACCATGGAGTGGATTCTGCTAGTGGAGGTGTAATTCGGGATTCATCTAGTAAGTGGCTGATGGGTTTCTGCAAGAATCTTGGCAGTGGTACCATTCTTATGGCTGAGTTGTGGGGTTGTCTTCTCGGACTTGAGATTGCTTGGAAGATGGGTTTTCGCTTTGATTGGCTTGAAGGAGATTCTCTAGTAGCTCAACAACTCATCAAAGAGGAGTGTAGTCAAAGTCATCCAGCGTTTATTTTTGTCAAGCATATAAAAAAGATGATGGCTTCGGATTGGAGGATAATGATCTCCCACATTCATAGGGAAGGAAATGGAATTGCAGATTGGATGGCTTCTTTTGCTTACAGTTTTGATTGGTCCTTACAAGAGTTTGCCTCACCTCCTTTAGGATGTTGTGAAAGGCTTAGCAGGGACTTCATTGGAGTAGCTTGGCCGAGGCTTTGCAAGTAATTTTTTGTTTTTCTTGTCTTTCTTTTCCTTGTAATCTTTTCCAAAAAAAAAAAATGTGTCTCATGCTGTAGGAAATAAATTTTTCTCTTATACACACATAAAAAGTGGTGGGTGGGAACCATGTAAGGAGAAGCGAGAAAAAGAGAAAAAAAATGGGTCTTACACACTTTTATATGTGTAGGAGAAAAATTTATTTCCTATACAACATGAGAAATGTAAACCCTACATATATACATATATGTATATTATATAGAAAGAGAAAAAAGAAAAGAACAGACGAACCACTGACTGGTCGTAATATCCTTCCTGTAAAACAGATTATATGAATTGATGGAGTAATTTATGTATTGTTGGGTAGGGTTCATACTTTGCATGACGACTCTTGTTAGCAGGGTCAGCAGGAAGCCAACGTAAAGGCCTGATATTATTGTGAGTCTCTAACTTATTGTATTTTTTTTTGCTAGTAGTTTTGAGTTTGAACCCATGAATAGTTGTTGTTTATGATTTTTAAATCCTATTTATATTCTCCTTATAAAATGAGTGACTTATAATGAGTATCGGTGAGACGAATATAGTACGGACAAGCTGTACGTAACTTATATTGAGTTAACCTAATTAAATTTTTGTGTTCAATTTCTCTTCCCGTTCCAACATGTATAATATAGGTTTATCAACCAGTTTTACCACCCTTATTCACCTAATCAGCAGCTACCACTACTAGTGGCTCAGTGATGGGTTAGTCAATGCAAAAGGAAGTGTTTCCTTGGTAAACACAAATCTTGGAAACTCCCCCTATAATGAAAGGGAAAGTTCTGTAAGGTTATATAGATTGGCATTAAGAAAGATAAATTAATAAAGAGAGCCGAATTAGACACAGAACAAATGCGTAGCTACAAGCACTATAGATACCAAAGATCTCACACTCAACTGAATAGCTTCTACTCAGCTTTATAAATGCATATGCTCTCCTATGCATCAAAAGCAAAACCAAGTCATTTGAATGGGAAGATGGTGAACAAGAGAAAACCTTCAAGGGAAGTTGAAGGAAGGGAAAAGAACAATGAAGAAGGGAACACTATTGGATGGGAACAGTTAAGGGAAGAAGCAACATCAGTAGCAGCTGCCCTACTTGGAGCTCGAAGATCAAGAAAACGTTACATTGGGGTGCGCCAAAGATCTTCAGGGAGATGGGTGGCTGAGATCAAAGACACCATTCAGAACATTAGACTGTGGTTAGGTACTTATGACACTGCTGAAGATGCTGCTAAAGCTTATGATGAAGCAGCTCGTTTGCTTCGAGGTGCTAACACTCGCACAAATTTCTTTCATTCCCAATCTTCTCATTCTATTTCAGCTCTTCCTCCAAAGATTGCCAAACTCTTACTTTTTAGGCTCAAAGCTAGTAACATTGCCTCTTCTTGTATGGTTACTACTACTTTTCCTACTAACCACTATGATCAAGAAACCATACCAGAACCAGAACCAAGACCCCATTTTTTTCACCAAATAGAAGAACCCAACTTCGAAAATTTTCTAGACATTGCAGGAAATGGGACTGTTGCAGCAAGTTATGATGATGGTGCTAGTTATGGTTCTTCTGACACTACTATTTATGACTATAGTGGAACCAATGGAGAAAAGTTTAACCAAGAGGGTTGTGGAGAGGATTTTACACTGGAGTATCATTGTGCTAACAATGTTGATGATGGAAACAATCAGATCGTGAGGCGTAAAGGAGAATTTGTAGACTATGATGTTGGGCTCAATGAGTTTAAGTTTCTGGATAGTGTTGGATCATTGAGTTACTCTTCTTCTCCATTTGAGATAGCAGAGGAGATGGCGGGGTTAATGGAGGAAGAAAAATGTGATGTGGATGATTCTCTGTTACTTAGAGAAACTCTTAGGATGAAGTATGAACGTAAAATCTCATCTTGTCTTTACACCTTAATTGGGGTGTCTGAGTGTTTGAGGCTGCAAGTTGAACCAGAAAATGGAAAGGAAATGGAAAAATTTTCAGGATGGGAACTGTGAACTATCCATTACCAGAATAAGGGTACCACAAAAAGTGGAATAAAATGAAGAAACACATCAAAAGGAAGGGCTGAAATAACTTAGACTTGCAAAGGCACTAACAGGAGGAACACTGGAACATAATCTTCTTCCATTCATTTGGAGCTCTCTTCTTGATTTTCATTCTATTTAAGAAGCAAATAAATTTGGAATAGGAAATATTATTCTTTTACAATAAATAGAGGATGGCATCTTAGCCCATATTCTTTAATTTCATTATAAACGAAGTTAATGTACTTTTGCTATATGATCAATGGTTTTCTGTCCCTTAAATTCTTAAACCCTTCCTCAAGATGTTACATTACCGCTTTTGGGAAAAGTTTGAAAACAACTTAAAAATGCTTATTTTCATCAGAAGAATCTTGACTCGCATTATGCCTGAAGAAAAATGAAAAATGAAAAACAAAAACATTGATCAATTACTTGGTGTTTATTAGCCTAATAGAGAATTCAGTTTGAAAATAGTGACCAAGATAACAAAATTTAGGACAGAATAGTAGAATATTAACTACAAGGCATGTACACTAAGCCCAAGTGTATGATTTTTGCCCAATGTTTGATAATAGCACAGCATTAGAAAAAAAAACATTTCTTATTTAATTATTCAAATCATATAAGGATTTAGGATTCAAATCACGAATAGCATAGCATTAAAAAAAAATTGTTATTTGATTGTTCAAATAATATAAGTATTTACAAAATTTTGTTCACACCACCAATAATTTACAGCCATTTATTATCCCCGATTTATTATGCACAAAATAATATATAACATAAATAATATCAAAATAGATTTTGCTTTAGTTTATAAATGAATATCACAAAATATTAGTTTTATACAAAATCATGCTTTAATCATGTAATTATGTAGTCTTTTCTCTTCCCCGTCCAGAAAGAATACACATTCAAAAATCCAGCAGTTTGACTAGGGAAGGCTTAATGGAGACCCATTCGTCTTCATTTGGCTCATATTCCTCAATAATCCAATATGATAAATCTTGATATTAAGAGATACATCACCATGGGATTTTAATATTTAAATTTTTTCAGTTGATACTAAAATCTCCCAAATATACACAGAATGTTTCCCGTCTATCGCTACTCTCTATTGTTTAGTTCTTTAAGAAAAATAATAAAGAAAATAAAAACAACGGGATAAAAAACAACCTTGGCAATGCCCTCATTCCAAATCTACACTCAAACCTAGGACCAAAAACAAAATGAGTTTAGGCATAAAAACATTGTCATTATAAAAAAGATGACGCAAGAAACCTTGATAAGCCGATTAAACCTTAAACATACCAACCCTCTTCCTGTGCCATTAACCGAACCAAAATTAGAATGGAGTAAAGTAACCCTGCCTGCCTTATGAAAGAAGCCTCGCCAGCAGTATTATTGCTCTCTAATAGATCCGTAAGTATAGTACTTCTAGGAGTGGTATCATCCATTGTAGCGACAGGAAGACACGTTAAGCCAATTCAGAACTCAACATTCCGTTTTGTTCAGTACAGAAGCGCTTTAATTGTTCATAATTTGATATAACATAAGCACTAGTCTCCCCTCAGGAGAACACTGCATTCACTCAGGGAAGTAGAATGCCATTCTTACCTTTGTTGGGAATTGCAGGGGCAGGTCACCAAACTACACTATATGTTATAAAAGTTTATAACCTCATCCAATAAAGAAGTGAAGAAAACAATTTTTCACAAGTTTAACAAATACCCACATATACAGAAAATAGAAGGAATAAGCACATATGGAATGATCATTCAATGCAAGTAAGCCAAAATTTAAAAGACAAATCCATTTTATAGTAATCTACATATAGTGTAGTGATCTTTTAATGCAAATGAGCTCAGTATACTTTTTAAGAATCCACTTGGTGCACACTTGATCATCAACAAATAAACTGATTCTATATGTATATAAAAGTTAACCATGAATTAAAGATTGTAAAAGGCATTTAAACCATTGAAGATAGACAACAAATTCTCAAACATTCCTGTAACCACTCCCCCTTAGTAGGCCATATCCAAATACCATTGTTAGACTTCGTTGAGGCTTGTGACATGCCCTAGCGTTGGAATAGACCCCCTAAACTTTAAACATCAGGAGGTATAAGTAACAATGGAGACAGATAAAAGAACAGAAGTTATGTACTAAAAAATAAAAAAAGAACAGAAGTTAAAATGAGACATATAAGGATTCATTCCCAAAGTTAATTGACTCAACTTTAACACCTCTCTCAAAACCAAGGCCTGGACATTAGAGATGAGCATATTAGTCTAAATAAATTAATTGTAATTCATTACCGTTTGAAATTAAAGATCAGTTAACCATAAAATTTCCCAAAGTTGCCCTAAACAGTATTAACTATTAAGACAGAAGCTTCTGAAAGACTGGAAGTAGCTATGTATCACCTGAGAACAATAAATTTGTGCTTCAATTCAAATTAATTTCTTCCATTTGTCTACAAAAATATTAGCTATTCTACTGACATTGCAAAAAACGAAAACGTTGATTACCCTGCTTTAAGTTTCTCCATGTTTGTAAATAACTAAAAGAAGCGATTTCCATGCACTGATATGAGCTATCTCACTAAGGTGAAAGCAATTCAAAGTCACCCACTCTAAGTAGCTCTCATATCCAATGTAGCTCTCATATCTAATGTTATGAAGAAGTATTATTCCAAGGTTCCTCAATGGCAACACAATTTGCTGGGAACAATCTCTTACGGCTTCCCTCTTCATCTTATTAATTCAATTGGTATAATGAAAATAATGCTGGAAATGTCATTGAATGCCAATTGTTTCAGCAGAAATGGCCATAGTTTCTAAAATTGAATTGCCTCCACCATCTGAGATCTCCATGCTAGAAGATCTACAACTGAAATAGAAAACTGCACTCATCATGGAATCTATAAGCACCACAAATGAATACATTATGACCAAGAGCGGCCCTTCCCACATTCTTGAAGATCCATCACCATAGCTCAGTGTCTTTACCCTGTGCTCAAACAAACCCTCCACAAAGGCCATTCCTATTGTTGATCCAAGAAATATCAGTAGACCCACCTGAGTTTGACCCTTGATTAACATACTGGACCGCAGCATTGCCTGCGCACCCGAAACTTCCTCCAGCACAGAGATCACCATTGCAATGTTGCAAATGATTATGGCATTGGCAAACACAACAGAGAAAACTAGCCCTACCATCACCGCAGCATACACAACAACATCTGGAGAAAATCCAAGAACAGCTAATGCACTGCAGAATGCAACAAGGAACACACAGAACATGGTGATGCAACCAACTACAACTGTACAAGCCCACATATACGTCGAAACAATCTTCCTCCAAAACTTAGCGATAATCACACAAAACTTGGAATAATCAAACTTCTTTCTCGAATAAGTACAATCTACAGAATACACAACCGCAGCTTTTGACAATAACAACAACGTGGCATACAAAGGGAAACACATGGCAGAAGAAATCACCATCTCCGCAAAACGCTGGCAAGATTGTTTGATAAGAGGTCTCAGAGGGAGACCACTAGTTTTGGCAACCAACATAAGCCTAATACTAAGATTCTTCACAATAGACTCATCCACCATCACATTGGACAGAAGCACAGCAGAAACAGGACAAATGAGCATAACAGTGATTGCCATGAAACCCCACGAATTAAACCTAAGAATCCTGACAGTCTCTCTCAGAATATCCAAAGCATTCATCGATTGGATTTGATTATTGTGATGATCACCATAATGAACACGATCAGAGACTTCCAACTCTAAACCTTGTTGTAAAGGGGTTTCCTCGGATCCCTCTTTCCTCAAATGATCAGACCTAATCCTAGGAGAACAACCTCCACTCGAAATCTCCATTTTCAGGCTAAATTTTTTAAAAATAGAAAATGAAAAATGAAAAGCTGATTATTTCATTGAAATTCAAGATTCACACGAAGTTCAATGTGAAACCCAAGATCTGAACGAGCTGGATTAAGCTCAGAGACCGTGAATCAAGAAGTGGGGTGTCTTCAACAAGGGCATTTATAGGCAATGGAGGTTGAACAGACAAGAATTGAACAAAAAAAAGTGTGAGGAAACTGATGCGATACAGTACCTAGAAAAAGGGGATGGAGATGAGGAGCGTTGAAAATGGTAGAAGAGTGCAGCATTGAAGGTGGACGCTAGAGAGGTTCCATGAGAGTGAGTGAGAGAGGTGAACTTGTTTGGAAGAAGAAAGAGATTTGTTAGAAGCGTGTTTGTGTGCGATTCTGCGACTACTCAATTCGGTGTCCTTTTCAGAGTTACGCATTAAGGGGCAAAGAATCGAGATTAGCATCGGACGGGAATTCGGTACAGCTCAAAATTATTTTTTAAAAATTAATTTGACATTTTCATTCAATTATTTAAGGAAAGAGTGTCTATACTTTTAAATTACACAACTTACATCATTTCACTCTCACAAAAAGGGGGGACCTACAACTTTATTTTTTTTGTCAACTCTCTCTCCTCCTTTATCTATCTCTTTCTCTCTCTTAGAATGACACAACTTTACGTCCTTCAAAATTATACACACTTGAATGATATTTACTTTTTACATTAATTAATTTGATATTAATTTAAAAGTGTCTTTTTTTTCTTCTAAGTGCTCTCATCGAACTAGCTGAAGTCCAACAGCCTAACATTTCTCGAGCATCTCAAATTTGTAACACGGATTGCCCATACCTTTGTCAGGGTCTATTGCCTTTTATTTTGCTTACGGGCCTAAGATTCACCTAGTGCATGCCTTAGTCGGTCATGAACACTCCTAGGGGTCTTTCCTAGCTCTTTCAAAGTTCTTCAGGTTGACGAACTTTTCGAGTCTAGTATGCAACTCGTCCATGATCTGAGCTTGAGCTTCCTTCTTGGCCAAGGATGTGGTGATGAATGATTCGTGTTGTAAGCCGTCACAAGTACATCAAGTGCCACATTGAGGTATAGGTCTTTGACCAGTGGTGATTCTTTGTTGAATTGGGTTAGATAATCCCTAAGGTACTCATGCTTTTCTGTTTAACCCTTCACAAGAGGGTAAGTAGATCTCAACTAGCCCTTGGTGAGACTTGTATAATAATAAGTAGTATTCCACTTAAATAAATAAATAAATAAATAAATATAAATATATATATATATATATATATATATAGGGCTTAACATTTCTGCAGCAGCCGTAGATAGTGTTATCTACAGCTGACACAGAAAAATGGACCCCACAGCTTTTTAAAAAAAAAAAAACTCAGGATCCGTTGCCGTATCCTAGGATCCGGACGCGGATCCTTGCTTGCTGTAGGTACAGCAGCTGCAGAAATCATTTTGTCATATATATATATATATATATATATATATATATATATATATATATATATATATATTCCTTCCATATGTGAAAGAGTACATGTAAAATCCCGAGAAGAATGAGGTGGAGAGTGATTGTCATTGAAAAAGAGATTAGGTATGGATAAGGAGTAGCTCCTGGTAAGCTTTCAGAGGAAGGTGTATATATAAGTAAATTGAATCAACACCTGAACGAGAGGAATCCAGAAGTTGTGCAGATATAAGACTGTACAGTTGAAGATAACATAAAAGGATATAATAGGTACTACCTATACTAATAAGATGCATCTACTTTTCGGTAGCCCATAACTTAATAGTTAAGTGTGCTTGACTTGGAGTAATTCTGGGATGAGTGACCTCCTGAGAAGTTTCTTATGAAGTGTATGAGTAAAGACAAAACGCACTGAAAAGTCTTGCGTTGATTTGGGCGAACAATCATTAATCCTATAAGCAGCCGGGCATTACAGTACACAAGTTGCTACTACAACATTTGTGGAGATGGATGTAAGAGCAAATATGGAAATAGGATAACCCATTTATTATTTTGATAAAGTTTTAATTTATAATAGCTTTCGTAGTTTTGGAATGATTTTTATCTTGCTCTATGCCATTAAGGTTCACTGGTAGTTGATGATAAACTGTTATGTATCTTGTTTTTTGGCTGAGTTTATTACTTAGGAAACTATAGGCCTGTTTGATTGTATTCTGATTTTTTTTTCTTGAAACTGTTTTGTAGAATAGTTATGAAAATTGTTGTTTTTTATGCTTTTTTGTTTTGAAAGTTAAAAACTAAAACAGAAAATAAAAACAACCAGACATGTTCTCTAAATTTGATTCTAAAAACAAACAAAAAAATTATATATATTTTTTACAAAACAGACCTTACCAAACTGGTTTTTTTGTTCTAAAAATCAAAAAATTATTTTTGAAAACTGATTTAAAACAAGCCCTATATATTATGTATGTTTTCTAGACGAAGTTTTCTCTTATAATTTCATTTGTCTTTAGGAATGTAAATTGTAAATCTTATGATACAATATATATAGGGTACTTAGAACCATGTAGATATACAATATATCATCTTCCTCAATTTAGTTTGACCCCAAATTTTATATCATAAATTGAAACCTTCAATTTTCACCATTCAAGTTTGAGGAGTGTCATTGGGAGAACCTTTGACGTTTGCAAAACAAGGTGGACGATATTATATAACATGATCAACTTTGCCCTTAATGTTAGCAATTCATCAGTAATTCATTAATACATGTTCAACAGTAATCAATCAAGAACATGACATAGGATCTTTAAAATTCATGAGTTTCACATAAACATACCTTTGTCCATAATTGTGGAAGATCTTTAACAGTAGAATGCTTTCTCTAAGCCTTAACCCTTTCACAGTTCTTGTATTTTCTTTGATAGAGATATGATACAACTTTTCTAGGCAGACTCAGAAGGACATTTGTTTTCTATCAGATACCCTTATATGAAAACTGACCATATAAACTATTATATAACTGGCCTATCACAGTTATTTCTAATTAACTTCCCTTAATGGTCAAAATGTCAATTATCATTAATGTGAAACGTCAATTGCCATAAAGCCTCTTTTATTATTTTTTTTTTGGAAACAAGCCTCTTTTATTATTAATTAAACCAATTGACACACATTACACATGAGACACAAATAGTTTTACACTTGAAAATCAAATTGTCATCGTATGGTTAGCTTTTGCTCTCATTAATTATATTCAATGAAAGATTCTTCAAATATTTGATAACATTGATGAGTTTGAAGCCAATGATAATAATCGAGAAGATAACGGCAATAAATAAGAGATAATATTATAAATAAATTGTTGGTGCAAAGTGCTCGTTAGCTTTTAGAAACTCATAATAGGGATAAGTTATTTTGCCTACCCCTCTCAACACCGTTAGATTACAATCTCATCCAATGGTGGAGATTTGCAAGATAAAATAAATCGTTTTACCCCTTTCTCTCTCCTCTTCCTCCCATATTTTCTCTCTCCTCCCCTGCTCCAAATCTTGTTGCCTTGAGCGGGTTCTCCCTCAATAATCTTCATGACAACATCTTCGGCCATCAAATATGGGTGGTGGTGGGGGGTTTCTTAATCGTGGAGAATTGGAAGCTGCTTGTGCTCGGAATATGAGTTTTCGACTGCGGAAAACCTTCTGGAATGTTTGTTGTAGGAATCATAAGATTTCAAGGATTTCTTGATAGATTGCATCAAGCTCAAGAGAAATATATGTTTTTAGATTACAATTAAAATGGAAGTGGGGGAGTCAGTATTTGGTGATCAAAAAATTATTTTTTTAAAAAAAATAATGGTTTTTTGAGTTTTGAAAATTTGAGATGGAAAGAGTCTTTCTTGGACAATTTGATGATTCGTGGGTTTGATTTAGCTGTCTCTTGGTGAAGTTGAACTCAAGATGCTCTCTTCTAGGGAGAAAAGAGAAAGAATAGAAGGCAGAGGGGAGAAAAAAGTATAAAAGGGTTTATTTTATTTTGAAAATTTCCACTATTGGATGACATTGTAATCTAACGCGGTATTGAGAATGGTAGGCAAAGTAGGCAGGTTAAGGAGTAGGCAGAATAATCTATCCCCTAATAATATATCTCGTATTACTTTCATGATTGCAATATTTTATAAGATAGGTTATTCTACCTATCATTTTTCTACCTACCTTTTCCTATCACTCTCTAACATCATTAGATCAGAATCTCAATAGGAGAGAAAAATGACAAAGGTAGTTGAGATTCTAATCTAACGGTATTGGAGAGTGGTAAGCAAAGGTAGGCAGAAAAAAAGGTAGGTAGAGTAACCTATCTCTATTTTATAATGACTTTTATTTGAAATTACTTTTCATTAGGGGTTATAAATATGGGATAGGTTATTCTACCTATCTTTTTTCTGTCTACCTTTGTCTACCACTCTAAAACACCATTATATCATAATCTCAAGAGGAGAGAGAAAGATAAATGTTAGTTAAGATTATGATTTAATGATGTTTTATAGTGGTAGGCAGAAAAAAAAAAGTAGGTAGAATAACCTATCCCAATAAATATTTATTATGTATCATTTAAATTTTAAATTTTTAGTCATTGTCTTTGCATAAAATAATTAAATAAGAATTTCACAAAATTTCTCTAATTAAATAATTTCAAAGTCTCAACAAATACAAAATTATAATGACAATTTGGATATGGTATATTAATGTTATAAGTGATCTAAACTTTAAGTTAAAAAAACATTTTTTTATTTCTCCTCCCGATAATCCCACAAGTTCCCTATAGACTAATCCGAAGTTCGGGACGCATCCAGGATTAAGGCTTTAAACTCCCCTAAAAGATGGTACTGGGAATGATCAAACTCATGCTTTCACCCACATTTACTCAACTCTCATACGCCAACTAAGCTAAAAAAACACTACTTTTATATGAGATAGGATATTGTTACTACCAATTAGTAACGGTGAAACAAATTAATAGTGACATTGGTAGTAACATTAATTGATAGTAACAATATCCTATCTCATTTTGTATATAAAAAGTATTTTTTTGAAGGGAAAAATATTTATCCTTTTAAAGGACATATAGTTGTGTTATTTTAAGCAGTGTTATAAAACCCCGCCTCACCCCAGGGTCAACTCTGTCGGGTCATTGACCCCCTCTCTCTGAGGGTTGGGGTCAACAGTTAGACCATGTATGCACGTTGACCCCTCTGACCCCCGAAATCCCACTGTTGAACCCATGACTCCCAGGTCAGAGGGGTCAAATAGAGTCACTGCATTTAAAAAAAAAATTACACATGAAAGACGTTGTTTGTTGTGTAAAAGAAGAAAAAACAAAATAAAATCTCGTTGTTGCCTATATCTGAAATCTGAATCATTCTTCTTCTTCTATTTTGATCTTCTCTCCCAGATCCAGACACAGTCTCCCTGATTCGGTGATCTCCTCTGTTGTGGTGATGGTTCCTCCTATCATCTTCGGTCTTTTCTCTCCCTCTCCTCCGCTATGCTGGTTCTTCTCTTCCCACCATTGCTTTTTCGCGTCGCTGCCTCTCCTCTTCCGTTCTCTATTGGGTAAGGGATCTCCTTTCATATACTGTTGTGGGTGCATGAGAAGGATAAGGAGGACCTGAGTTTGATGATATAACTTCTCATTAACTCTACTGGAATATGTGTTTTATACTTTGATAATTTGATACTTTGATTAGCTTGTGTAATATTGACTTATGAATGTAATTGGTTGAATTATGTTAAGTATATTTTGAATCTTTGATGATCAGTGGTTTGATTTTTTTTGAATTTTTCATATAGGATATATATTTTTATTTTTTTAATGTATAAAACCGAGTGAGCAAAGTGACCTCGTGACCCCCTCGGTTGAACCCATGACCCTGTGACTCCTGACCTCAGTCGAGTCGAGTTTTAAACACTGATTTTAAATGAGAGAAAGACACAAATTAATATTTTTTTTAGAATTTAATTTAAAAAAATCACCCACCTTCTTTTCTATGATTTCCATTGTTTGTGTCTCTCTCATTTAAAATGACATAACTCTATGTCCTTTGCAGAGACAAATACTAAACCTTTGTTTTATTTTAATATGCAAACAAATTTTTTTATTTAAAAGTAATTTTTAAATTGTGCAATCAAATATAAAATAACTTTATCTTTTAATAAAAATTATTTGAAAAGAATGCATAAGAAGTTCTTTTCTTAAAATCCATTCAAATGAGTTTTAGGTCATTTGTTGTTACCTTGTATCTATTTAATAACACATCAAATGATCCATTAATAAAAAAGATTGCCCATCTTAGAATCCAATAAGTAATGATACATCCATGATGCCAGCTACTTTCGGATAAGCTACCTCTGTAATGGAAAAATGCATGGCCGAAAAAATTAATTTATTGCTTTTTAATAAATAATTCGCAAATGTAGTAGTTTTGAAACTATTTACGCAAATACAGCAGTCAAACACGTCCACATAGGGCATGACCCAGTAGAGAAAGACACACCCATGTGGGGCGTGACCTGAGAGAGAGACACACCCACATGGGACGTGATCCAGTGGAGAGAGACACATCCACGTTGGGCTTGACCAAGAGAGAGACACGCCCAACAAAGACGTGACCTCATTGATCCTTAATTTCCAACTTTTAAAAAGTAACGCTGATAAGGAGGGTTGTTTTTTTGGAGTTAGCCAGCGGAAGAAAAGCCATTCACAACAACGATAAGGAGGGTCAAATATCTTTAGTTGAGTGGATCTGTGAGCTCTATGGATTTAGAAATCTTTTTGTAGCAGCAGACCAAAGCTTTGTGGGGTATTTAATATGCAGCAAATGGAATGTTTAATGGTTGTTGGCTTATGGTGTGCTAATCCAGATTTCAAATCTAGGCCTTTTATAAGGCAAGTGATTAAGGTGCTCAACTTTAAAGCTTCGTTACCATTTCTCCCAGAAAACATGCATGTGCTAACCTATCTCCCTCTAACAACAAATGAGCTATTTGATTGAGTTTCATCTTTTTTACTTACTACAACCTTAATTGAAAGTAAACAACTGAAAAAAGCGTTGCTTTTTAAAAGTGATAGCTGAAAGCAGGATCAGGGTGGTCAAACCCCTGTTGGACGTGTCTCTCTCTTGATCACGCTTCATGTGGACATGTTTGTCTCATAGGTCACGCCTTACATGGGTGTGTCTCTCTCCATTGAAACACGTCCTATGTGGACGTGTTTGACTACTATACATGTGTAAATAGTTTCAAAACAATTACATTTATGTAATTATTTATTAAAAAAACTAATATATATTTTTTCAAAAACACATGACATAAATGGTTCGGGAATGAATTCTAAAAATATATTATTTAGGCTGCGCATGACAACCATTCTAATTCTTGGCACTGTTTCTGAAAAAAATGATTTTTTTTCTATTTCTGTGCTTTGGAAGAGTTCTGAGAATTAGAATTACGTTTGTTAACATATTTTATTTTTATTCTGAGAATCAGAATTACGTTTGTTAACATAATTTTTTTTTCATTCTGAGAATTAGAATTTCATTGGGTATTCGGTTGCTATATTACAAGAAATTGCAGGTTCGGAATTGTTTGCCAATAACAACATGTGTCAATTCACGGTGAACGAAAAGGATTTCCTAGGTAACCCAATTTCTGTCCAGAATGGGTACCCATAAACCATGGAATAAACCAATGTTGAAAACAGTATAACCAGCACCTGAAAGAATTGTGAAAACTCCAGCCATAAGAATTGTTCACCCCGTATCAGTTCATTGCACAAAACCATGGAATTCGTGCTCTAGGAATAAACCCTGTATCACCCCGTTCCAGCCATAGGAATAAACCATGGAATTCGTGCACAAAACCACGCATACAGTTTCTTAAAATTTGGTTTGCAGAAAATTTGCACAAAACCATAGGAATAACCCAATTTTCTGCTTTTGTATATTATCACCCCGTATCAGTTCATTGCACAAAACCAAATTAAGCAATTATTTGCTGGGTTATTCTTTTCTTTAGGGGGTGAGGTAGTTTAGGTTAGGTGGGTTGTTCTGGTACGCTGCCATAGCTAGCGAGTGGGTGAGAGTGTGAGAGAAAACTGATTTTCTTTTTGTGCCCAGAATTAGAAAAGCAGAAAATTTTTTTTTTTTTTTTTTGGTTCCCCAGCATAAAAAAAAAACCGGTTCATCCCGAGAACAAAAAAATAAACCGATTTTATCAAACACAATTCTCATCCATTTTTGTTCCCGGGAACAGAAATTAAAAAAAAACTCATTCCGAGAAGGTTGTCATGTACACCCTTAACGTGATCACGTCATATATGATAAAATTTTAATCATTCTAAATAAGTGAATGATAACAAGAAATAAGAAATGAAAGAAAAAAAATATATAAGAATAAAAAATAACAAAATAACCATTATTAATTTTTTCTTAATAATTAAGATCCAAAAAAATCAAACTCCCATCATTATTAATTAGAGCTGGCATCAATCACAGAAAGCTCAAAACACACGGAATGTGTGGTGATGAGCAATCCCACTTTTTTCTAGATGGTTCCAAAACCGCTGTGTTTGACATTGCCACTAGGGCCCTTCAAAAGCACACCTGCTGACCCAAGAAACTTTCCCAATGACCAATTTTTTTTTTTTCCAAAAGAAAAAACATGGAAACAAGAGTGAGAAAGAAATCGATTTCACAAGGCGAAAACAAAAAAATTTAAAATATTAATATAATATTATAAATAAAAATAAATCGTAAATACAACCTTCATTTCAAGAATTAAAATTAAAAAAAACTTATTTAATAGAAAAAGGTCCAGTAGCGTAAAGAGGAAAAAGAAAAGAAATTTTATTTGTTTTGAAAAAAGTAGTGAGAAATGGTAATGTTGCACTTGCACTGCAAATAAAATCTATTATTATATTCCAACCGACTCTTGCCCCATTCATTTCCAATCCACACGTCACCACCACTTTCTTCTTCTTCTTCTTCTCTCTCTCTCTCTCTCTGCAAATTCAGTTCTCACCGCCGGCATGGCAACAGAAACAGCAACGGCAAGAGCACCAAACCTCAACCTATGTGCAATCCTGTCAGAATCGAAACGAATCATCAACGCACACTCTCGTCACTTCCTTGCTCTCTCCGTTATCTTCCTTCTCCCTCTCTCCTTCTCCCTTGTGGTCTTCCCCACCCTCTTCCACCTCATCCTCACCCCCAACAACAACAACAACTCTCGCGTCCACATCCTCATACGCTACACCCTCCTCACTCAAACCCCCCAAACCCCACAAACCCTAACCCAAACCACTTCTCCGCCACCACCTTTACCTTTCTCTCTCCCCCTTCTTCTCTTCTCTCTCCCCCTTCTTCTCTTCTCTCTCTTCCTCTTCCTCTTCTCTCTCTTCTCCCTCGCCACCATCACCCACAGCGTCTTCCACGGCTTCTTCGGTCGACCCGTTAAGCTCCTCTCCGCCATAACCTCCATCCTCACCTCCTTCACCCCTCTCCTCGCCACCACCATCGTTTCCCACTCCATCCTCTCCTCCATCTCTCTCCTCTTACCTCTCTTACTTCAATCCATTCACCTTCTCGGCTTCAAACTCTCTTACTCTTCCCCTTTCTTCCTCTTCCCCTTCTCGCTCCTTGTCATCCTCTTCATCTTCTTCCTCCTCTACCTCCGCGTCTCCTGGACCCTCGCATCCGTCATCGCCGTCGTGGAATCCACCTGGGGGTTTGCTCCGATGAAGCGGAGCGCGGCGCTCATGAAGGGAATGAAATGGGTGGGCGTGTCTTCCTTGTTCTTCTTTGGCTCCTTGGAGGGGATCCTGTTATGGAGTGGGTCAGTTCTCACGGTGGGTTATGACGGTGGCGCTTGGAAAGATTGGGCTTTTGTGGTTCAGATTGTGATGACTTCGACTGTGCTAATGCTGCTTCTGCTTTACAACACCGCCGCTAACACGGTGTTGTACATGTATTGCAAGGCCGTTCACGGTGAACTTGCTTTGGAGATTGCGGAGGAGTTCGCTTGGGAGTATATTAGCTTGCCCTTTGATGATGGAAAGGTCCCTCACGTTGTTTCTGTTGTTCATGTGTAAACAATTAAGTTTCTCAGACCAACCAGGTTAAATGGCAACTCTCTTGTAACAAATATTAGATTACCTCTGTAATCCCCCCCCTTGTCGTTATGATTTGTGTAAAAAAAATGATGATGGATAAACACACGTTATTGTTAGATCAAGCAAAGAATGTGATATGGTGATATTACTAATGTGAAACTTGTGGATACCAAGCATTTTCTTGTGAAATGAACAAGCTGGCCTATTGGATTTTGGTTTTTTTTTCGTTTCTTTTTCACATGTAGATTAGACTTCAATGCAACTCGAGTGAGTTTGGATCGAGTTAACTAGATAATTTGCTTGTGACTTGTGAGTAGGAGGGAGGAGGGATAATCAACGATGTAACATACAAGAAGTACCTATATAGGGTTTCGATTCGTTAATTGGTTCGATGTAGATTATTTTTCTTACCCACAGTCAAATCTTTTCATTAATCATTTATGAATACTAGCTACAGAAATCAATCCAATCTCAATATTGTCTAGGGATTAAAACATTTCTTCTGTTTTTGTTATTGGATTTATGTAATTTTGTGGCACACCGCAAGTCCAACACATAAATCTCAGTATCTCAACAACCTTGCAACTAACGGAGGGATAATTCATTTTGAGGTTACTATAGTCTGGAAAGATGTCTTGCAGCCATTAGCTTTAACCGGATTTGTTTCAATGAACTTTGAAACATGCAATGCAAGTCTGGACTTTAACAAGTTTCTGAAATTTAATAATTTTCACTGCAGAAAGAAGCCATTTGTCAGGTTTAAGATATTGACCTTATTGCCTTGCACGGTTAAAAACTCATCTCACACCTGATACCTGCAATTAAATAGATGCGAATTCAATGACCTAAAAATTAGAAGCAAATACAGAACTGTTAAATTTGCTAACTGTTAATGTCTTGACATATTAATTCTAAGATAAATCAAAGATGGGGATACAACTAACAATCGTTCACCATTTTTATTGTTTTTTGTGGGGATGGGCGGGGTGGTACTAGAAGAACATTTTTTCCTAAAACAGACACTTGTTTTTCTGTTAATGTAAATAACCGGGCATTCCCCATAGGCTATCACAAGCTCACAAGCAACAATGCTATCGACATAAAACTTTGTACATTGGTTCCCACATGATCTCCAATTCTCCATCACACTCGAGCCTCCCTCCAAAACTTTAGGGGCATCATCTTAAAATCATTGTAAGTACCTGAAGCTCACAAATCAAAGAATGAACAATTCCCATCAAAATAGTCAGAAAGATAGTTGTCTAATTAATACCCAAGTTGGTCACAACTTTCTACCATGATCACCTATGCTGGATAAGGATGTAGGCTTCAAAGCCCTCTCATCCTGATCAGCTCTGAAAAGAAGATTAGTCCAATTGGTAGACCTCTGAACAATCTTACTGGCAACCCAGTCACTATCTTCCCCGCCAGAGGCCTCATACCCATCACTAGTTGACCTTGACAATGGAATCTCCTTGAGAGTTGCAGCACCAGCAGCTGAATGGCCCGCATGCTGTATCTGTATTGCTTCAGCTCCTGATGAAGACACCCCAAAAGGGTGAATATCAGGAGAGTCTAAACTGCTTTCAGAAGAAGAAACAACAATTCCAGCTGAGCTTGTCATTGCTTGACTTGTATGAAATGCACTACGTGCTTCAAACTGGAGAGGTGCTAAGTTAGACATCCTCCCACTGAAGCCTTTATCAGTATTATTGGCATAAACTTTTGTCACTGACTCAAAAGGAAAGTCAGCAGGGAGGTAAACCCGCTTACTAGCCCTCCTTTTATTGTTCTCAAACCTTGAGATCACTCTTTGGCCACTGCTACCAAAACTGCTGTCTGGTTCTAACCTGAGAGCATCGTTATGTCTTATCACAGGTTGAAGAATTTTGGACTTTTTTCTTGCTTCTGCAGCAGCCTTGGAAACCTCTTCTGCATTTAATCTTGCCAATGTCCAAGGACTAATTTTGACTGCTCCAGGATTCTTTTTCTTTAATGGCTCTTCTCTTATTGTCTTCTTTCCCAGTGAACTCACAGAACCAGTCTCTGGGGGCACTACATCAAACTACAATCAGACACAGAAAACATTAAAGATGTTTTAGACAGAAAAAAGCATTAATACATACAGCAAGTCTGAATTGAAAAAATATTACCTGATCTTCAAGGAACAGGCGTGGGGGTGTGCACCATGCACCGCGGTGTAAAGTAGTAAAGGAGCTTGTACTGCTCAATCCAGTAAGTGAGCTAACAGTTGACATTTGTGGACTTTGCTGACCTCCAACACCTAGCTGCTCTTGCTCCTGCTCTCTCATAGCTATGATGTAATCATATGTACTGAGTCCCTGAGTCACTCAGCAATAACCATAATATTTAGCTCTAACAATGTATTGTTGTTAAATGAGAATTATGAGATAAACATGTATTTTGCCCCAAAGAAAACATACTAATGCCTTTTGGTCACTTAAAATGTAAAATAATTATGCGACACAAGGATTTATGTAATTATTTAAAATAAAATGAGGATGTGTCAAATTTTAATTGGTTTAATCTACTCAACTTGTTTAAACATGGTCTACACAAGAACTTTTGAAGTAGACACAACCATCACAATATCTCCAACTACCCCTCATCATGCTTATTCCTTTTTGCTTTCTTCTTCTTCTTTTCTTTTTTCTTTTTTTGATATAGAGATAAACAAAGAAACACTTGAAAAGTTGCCCCGTGTTGAATAATATAATTTGCTTTAGAAATGAAATGAGATATTCACAAGATTATCAACATACCAAATAACTGCCGAGATTACCTTTTTAATGAGGAGGACATGAAAGAAGAAAAGCTGGGCGACAGGTAAGGTAGCAATCATAGCCAGAATGCTGCAGACAGACTGAAAAATAAAAATAAAAGAAAAAAGTTGATCATGCGTAAGAATAGCGGTATTGGAAATAGCCTCAACGATTTTCATCCAAACAAAAAGAGAAAAAAAAATAAATACATCAGATGGATATATAAATAACCATTATAGCAGTATGAGTAACCACATAATATACATAGGAAAAAGAAAGGGGGAAAAAAAAGGCAGAATGCTCACCACCACAATAACAAAGGGAACCAGAGAGAAACTGCTTCCCAACTTGGAGGTGATATCCACAGGAAATTGCTTCCTCTCAAGAAAACAGCGGATAAGTACAAGTATCCCAGTCGACCATTGAAGAATAAACTGCAATCTCAATCCCAAGGTCCACAAACCAAACCTGTCAATAGTTAGTCAAAATAAAGATAACTTGGAAATAAAAACTCTTACTTGTGGTGCTCTTTAGATTATGGCATGTGGCAATAATTATTGAGATAGGTTTGGGATGGTTCAAAGAGAAAAAGGAAAGAATTTGACACTTGGCTAGACTAAAGTGGCATCAGAAAGGATGAAAGAATTTTTTTGGGAATAGAGGATTTGCAAATGCTGGTGATCGGGAGCAGAATCATATTTTAATGGCAGAGCTTATATAATAATAAAAGTAGGTTTGACAATGTGAATGATAAGCAAGGCATAGGTGGAGAATCTTGCTTACCAAGAGCATAGCAGCAACCATGAGGGTGAAAAATTGTCTATAGTTCTTTTTCCCTATACAGTTGTTAAGCCACTGCAAAACCCAGGAAGCAACTGTCCTTCAGAAAATATGTTAAATGATAAGGCAAGAGATGAGAAATCAGATATCATACTCGGCAATGATGATCAAAGTGATCTACACACTTGTCACATACTCTACAGTGCTTGCTGTACTTGAAGACCTACAACAACAAAATTCTTCCATGATATATATACTTATTTTATCATCTAAGCAATGCAATGCAAGCATGAATTTGTAACAGAAGGTTAGAGTGAAGTTCTAGATCAAGTTCTCAGAGGAACAATGGGTTTCTGGTTCAAATGCTTCTACGCACCTCAACTTCACACAAACTGCAATAGAACATGCCATCTTCACTTGTTTGCTTATCACAAGATTCCTCACTCGAACTAGAGCAGCTGCAGATATAAGCACAAGGAGAACAAACAACGAGGAAACATGATGAACAAGAAGATGATGCCCTCTTGTTCTCTACTGAATTAGAAACATCTTTCAAATCTCCTTTTGTACCCAATGCTTCCTTATCCACAGAGTTTGCTCCAACTGTTGAAGCATTTGCATCATGCATTGACGAAGTTGATTCCCCACCTAATTTAGAATTCTTTAATCCAGCAAGCTTTTCACTTTCTGGGATTTTAAGATACTTTTTGGACTTAAAAACCCCTGGATCTGCTGGATCTGCTACTGCACACCAAATGTACAGTCCGAAGACACAAGTAATCTGGCAAGAGGTGAAATATCACTAAAAGATGATAATGTCCTTCATGAGGTTTTAAAAAATATGCAATTGCTAAAACAAAGTCATCCTTGTCTAATCATTATTTTACAAGCACATTTGGAACATCAAAATGATGCAGGCTAATAACAGCTCTAGTAGAGTCATATATATAGCATGGGTAACCAAAATAGCCAACAGAAGGAAGAAATATCAGAGAAAAGAAAGTGCATATCAGCATTGCCAGATATCTCACAAAATTAGTTACTCAAGAATATTGCATTCCAGAGGATTGTGGGTACATCAAAACTATTGCTACCTAAACATTTATTATTCCATTGGTTACAACATTTCCCCCGTTAAGGGTAGGTTTTGAGAGCTAGCAGACCCAAGAACTTTTCTTCTAACAGACAATATAAGTACATATCGGATTCAAAGCATCCAAAAGCCAGAAACAACCAAACAAATAAGCATATTGCTATCCCAAATATCATGGTCATCTATCATTGATTCTGTAAACAAATGGTTTCTGATTGTTCCCCTAATTCTCAACTCATAGAAACCTGAAGTTAGCTAACCAATTTGCCAAGCATTCCTACCTATTTTCTTCAACCTTATGGTTGTGGCTTTATGCAGACAAAAACCATTATACAAACCACATGTCCAAGTTACTACATTGGAAGCAAATCCCAAACTTGCAAGGTTTCACCTGAACAACAATCTACAATAATTTCCAAGCAAAACATCTATAATTGCTGGTGTTAAGTTTCAAAACCTGTAGAATGTAAAAAATTGATAATTTCGACTTCATCCAGGCTACTATGGGTGATGGAATAGGAGACACTTCTGTCATCCCAGCTTTCAGTGTCATATTCCTTAATGCAGTAATATCAACATGTTTCTGCATTGTTCTAATTCCCATTTTCTCTTAAAATTATGACACTGAATAGTTCAAGATGATTGTAATCATTTAGAGATAATTTAAAGTATTGACCAGTGTATGAAGCTTTTTCTTCTTCCACTAAGGTGTCTCACTTTGACATAAGGTTTTGTTTACTCTACATAAATCAAGATCCATCCAAAAGACAATTATCAAGCCGTAGAAAAAAATACATTATACATATATATATATATATGATAAGTATGATTTAGTGTTACCGAGGATTTCAAAAACTTAAACTAGCTTCAATTTGAGACTCCTAACATATACTTTTTTCCTGAGGTGCTAACAAACAGGAAAACCAATATAGTTCTCAGAAGAGGAAATTCAAAAGACTTAGTAATCAGAATAATTTTAAAAAATAAAATAAAATCAGTGAATTCTAGATTACATATCTTCAGATGGTTATCTGTCAAAAAAAAAAATGTGCTTGAAAATGGATGTAATGCACAGAAGGAACCCGAAATGGAGACAAAGTTCAGTCATACATAAGAAATTAAACACGTGGAGCAGAAAGAAAGAGAAAAAAACACAGATCTTATCCCTTCCACCGACCAACTTAGAAAGCAGCAAAATGAGTACTTAAAAAAAAAACACTAAATCAGAGAAAATTCGAAGATTGAGTTACCAGTGGTGTGTAAACGCCCATAACAATATATTGATACATCTTCTTTCCAACAAAAGGAGCGAAGAACACATAGAAGGCAAACCCCAGAGTCAAAAACACAGCAACAGCCACCACCTTCGCAAAGATTCTTAAAAATGAATAAACCCCACGAAACAACAAAAAGAAAAGATTCAAAATTTACACCTACCTGAAGAGGATGGTAAGGTAGCTGCCATCCATGCTTCCTCATTTGTTTATAAGGAGTAAATAAATACAAGAAAAGCACAAATGCAGAAAAGAGTGGGCACTCACTAGCCAGAACAACAACAGGGGACTGTTATTTTTGTTTATTCTCCAACATTTTCAATTTCTTTTCAAGGGAAAAAATGAATGAAAAATCACATTTTTGTAAGTGAAGGACAAAGAAAAGATGGCAGCTTGCAATGATATGTTGGTTGAAGGTGACAGAAAGAGATGTATTATGTAAGAGAGAGTATGGGATTAGGATGATGATGGTGGTGGGTGTTGAGTGTGAAGTGAGGAAAGCCTTTGTTTAGTTCTAAGATATGGCCTTCTTTTTTCTTACTGGATTATGATGTTTGTTGGTTGCTAAAAGCTTTTTACTTCGTCTGAGATCTGTGACCATGGATTTCTCTTTCCATGCCAATGGTTATCTTATCACACTTTTTTTTTTTTTTTTTAAGGTAAAGACAACACACTTTTTCACTTTTTGGGTTTTCCTCTCTCTTTGTATCTGCCGTTACCTGCTACTGCTGCTGCTAGCGGCGTTACCTTTTATAATGTGTCACAGAACACTGCAACCAATGGTTGTTCCCTTCTGCTTTTGTAATTACCAACAACCTTGTTTTCAAGCTTCTCTCTTTCTTTCTCTCTCTCTCTCAACTTTAACTGTTTTATTACCTGAAATCTGTGTTTGGAAAGAATTAAATCCAGTGGAAAATTACCAACACAATGAATCAAGCTGCTTCTTCTTCTTCTTTCTCAATATAATACGGTCAAATATTTCATTAATTGCTGACTAATATTATTGGTTGGTCGCATGGATTATACGTGCATCTGTAATTTAGAAAGTGCCACATGGATTAAAAAAATATTTTATCTCTATTTTTATTGGCTGGTCGCATGAAGTGTTGTGTATTATGGCTGTACCATAAATATTTTCGTCAGGGTTCAGGAAAATTTTATGGAATAGTAGAAAAACGAGATAGATAGAAAAAATGATTGGAAAGATAGATAAAGTGAGATAGATAGAAAAATGTAAAAAAAAGTTGTTTGGTGGGAAAAAACGGAAAATTAGGTAACTTTATGAAGTCAACGGTGCATTAAAAGTCAGATAACTGGTTTTCCGAAAAATCTCACCTTCAAATTGGGTTTATAAACAGTGCGGATATCTATCTTTCTCATAAATCCAGACAAATTGGATAGATGAGTTTTTGGTGAAAAACGTTGAAACAAACATGGTGTTTGTAAAAGCCATACTTGAGAAACATAGATATCCGCTGAAAAGCTCCAAACCAAATACCACCTTAAAGCCAAGTAGGAGAGAGAGCATAATTTGATTCAAAAATAAAAATTGAAATTTTTTTTTTTGTTTTTTTAACTATACCCACTACATAGGAAGGAGTCAACAAATAAAAATTTGAAACTTATTTTATTGCATGTTCTATTTCTCTAAAAGGATTTTGATATTCTAAATCAATTTTAAAAGAAAATAATCCTTACCAGGCATGTGGTGGTTGATGCTATGGCTAGGAAAAGAAAACTAAGTCTAGTTGTTCAGCACCATGTTCAAAGGCCTAGACCCAACCTAGTCACATTGAGTTTGAATGTACAATTGTCTTGCGCTTGTTACTTAGTGTTTAACATCTTTCAATCTATATTTCTCTCTGGTTTCCTCTCTATAATATATTTACTCATAAGACATTGATCTTCCGGTTTGTTACAGAAAAACAAGCTTTCCTTGTCTGGTTATATATATTGTGCAATGTAGAGTCAATCACAGACAAAATAATTTATTTGTGCAGATACCAAGCAACTATTCTCTTTGAAAATGCCATTAAATTCATTCAACTTGTTTATAGAATTATCGACATTTGGGGTAATATTTTGCCTAAAATTATTTTTCTATAGGATGTATTATCATTTCCGGATCATTAATTTATGCCCAAATAGATGTTGCTTCTCAACATAATCAATATATAGCTTTAATAATTTCCTATGAAGCACAGTTTTCAAAAAAAAGTGTGTACCCAAATCAAAACAAAATTATCAATCTATCCCCACTTTTTAAATTATATATCAATTTAGGATTTAGGATTCACTTTCTCATATTTTCTCGTGCTTTATGCCCTTATACTATGTAGTAAAATCCTGATTGTAAGTCCTAAATTTCACTCATTCTCCCAACCATATCATCTACACGTAAATTGCAATAATTTAAAATTATTATTTTATTATTAAATTAATAAATTTAAATAATTTACATTTATATAGTGATATTTTCAAAATCCTATAAATTTACAAAATATTAATTTTATTATCAATAATTATAATATTATTATTGATTTTTCTTTTTCTTTTTCTATTTACTAAAAAAGAATTGTGTGGATTGATAATAAATAGGGAAAATAATCAATGGTTAAGATGTCAATATTAATAATATTTTTGATATTTTTTAATTTAGGATTCTAAAAAAAAATATTTTTTACATCAGAATAATAAAAATTATTTATTTAAATTTATTTTTTAATTTCATACATTTGAATAATTTAATATTCTTTTACCAATATTAAATTGATTATGCCATGTGTAAATATTAAATTGATATATAATTTCAAGAAATAAAATATATGGATAATTATCAATCAGCCCAAACCAATACATGCAATATTTATTTGGAAAAAAGGTGTGTCATTTTAAATGACACATTTTTCATACTTTCACTCTCACAAAGAGGCGAGACTAACATTTTTAAAAAAAATTCTCTCAACTTTCTTCTATGATTTATCTTTTTCTCTCGCTAAAATGACACAACTTTGAATCATTTTAAATGATACATATTTTTTTCTATTTATCCAAGAATCTCAATTTTTAAAAATATGATAAAAACATTCAATTTACGATAATATTTAAAAATTAAAAATTTAAAAAAAATCGATTATTTATCGATAATCCTAAAAAAATACCGGTTAGCAAACGGCCATTTAAGTTGTTTGTTTGGAACTCGCTATGTTACATTTCTACAAACACTACAATTACAATGATAACTGATAAGAATGGTAACACTACAAACCAATACATACAACTACAATTTCAGCTCAACAACTCATTACAAATGGGTGCCACCATGATTACCCTGCGGCTAATTTGGTGAATCGTATTCGAAATTTGATGCAGCGAGATTGGCAGATTTATATGTCTCACATTCACCGTGAAGGAAATAGAGTAGCGGACTTTCTAGCCTCTTACTCTTATGGTTTCTCTTGGGTAATTCAGGAATTTGATTGTCCACCGTCAGGTTGTATTGATAGTCTGTATGGTGACACTATAGGTGTTCACTGGTCTAAGCTTTGTGCCTAGTTTCTTTTTGTTGTGTTTTTGTTTTAATTTCCTATTATTTCCAAAAAAACAAGCACTTGTCGTTTTGGTGTCAGAAGCTGCCCTGGACCATAACTTCGAACTCAAAACTCTCTGTGCCGCGTATATACTCTACTCTATGCATTCTGCAACGCGCGATACATTCATTTGCCCAAACCATGAAAATTGCAAAATCGTGAGGGTGGAAACCACGGGATGGTGATACACCTTTGTGTACTCGATTAACCCTGCGTACGAATTTATTGTTAATAAAAAAAGGTTGTCATTGACTCATTTATTATTTGTAGTGGATGGAGTGCATTAAATTTGTTTGGATCTGTGGTGTCGTTTATGGAAAAACTCGTTGTAGTAAATGAGCTGAAATCCGTTTTTGAGCTATCCTCCTTGGAGTTGGTCTTATTGTTAAGAACCTTGGGATATACCACTCCAAAAGCTAGCTCAAGGGGTGAGAGTGTCTAAGGCCTTATAAAGGCCATATTAGTTGCCCATCTAATCAATGTGGGACTATATATCTCAACACGCCGCCTCACGCAAGAGCCCTTTGGGCTAGAAGCGTGGAATTGCACAGGCCCAATTTTTGGTTCACCTTTTTGTGCTTTTTTTTATTTTAATTCCACTTTTTAAAGCGGGGGACGGTGAGGCTCTGATACCATGTTAAGAACCTTGGGATACACCACCCCAAAAGCTAGCTCAAGGGGTGAGAGTGCCTAAGGCCTTATAAAGGCCATATTAGTTGCCCATCTAATCAATGTGGGACTATATATCTCAACACCTATCACGAATTCCAAACAGCACTCTTAAATTACATTGACCCGTCCCATCCGTTTAACTTGCTTAATTTTAGGGCAACTTAAGTAGGATTCGAGATCAACTCCTGTTTTGTCTTGCATTTTACTTTTAAATTAATTTTATGATATGTTTACACTCGAATTCTGTTATCTCTAGATCTTTTAACGTGAAAATTCACATGACTACGTAATGTGGGGAGAAATAACCATACAAAGGTGGATCAATGGTAAAAGAAAAGAGAAAAAAAAATGATAAAATAAGTAGTTACAAAATCATAACCGTTGATTTACCTTTGTATAGTTGTGATCTTCCCACATGACCATATCATACTTTTTTTTGACACATTAGAAGATTCATTTCCAAATAAATATAAGAGTGTGAGAAATAAATTGCACTGTGCAAGTATAATATTAAGTTTAGAAGGAATATCAAACCCGTGCATTAGAGCAAGAAGATAAAACAAAAAGGTAGTTAAAAATTGAACTCGAGAATGAGGCACAATCGCAGAAGTGACAAGTTGACTGTATACATATACATTGATATTCGTTTTTATTGGCTATGATGTACGAATCTTGATAGTTGATTAACACATGTTGTCAAGATCTCAAACAATATGGATTGTCAAAACTTTAGACAAAGGGGTTTATTAATCTTATGTTACATGAGAGTACTATCTCATGTGGGTGATACAAATATGTGGGGTTCACAATTTAAAATGAAAAGAAAAAAGAAAAGAAAAAATTGGCACAAAATTCTATGAGTGTATAACATGAGATAAGTATCTGATGTTGCATGAGAGTATCATTTCCCTTAGACAAAATATAAAGAATTTAAGTAACAGATTCTATATTATTAGTTAATGATATATTAATATAATATTTAAATAAAATTTTAAAAAATTATTTTGAAATATAGTAATGAAATCAATGAAATTTTAGCAGTTTAACAATGCAGGATTAAATGATAAGTAAAAAAAATTATACTAACTATATGTTAAATTAAAATTCAAGAATGACAGTTCACCTACCCCCTCCAAATATAAAAGACAAAGAAAAGTAATTTGACCCGTGAGTACTGATTCAAATCTTTTCTGCCCGTGACCTAAATATTTCGTAGGTTGCCAACTCACTACGACCCCCCAATAGAGGTCAAGTCACCGTGTTTAGGCACTCATCGACGTGTGTCGAAGTCATTAATATGGCTTGAATTGAGTCCACGGCCTGTATAGTGGTTTGAACCC